AAGACTGTACAACATGATAAACGTGTTGATGTGGATCGATTGACTTTTGAAATACGTGATCTAGAGAATCAAATAAAGCAAAAAGAATACGAAGCAGTGCATTTAAAAGAGCAATTTACTAAGGCAGAAACATGGCGAAGAAAGGAAGTAGCACGTGTGGAAAAGCGTGATATTCAATTAATGGAACTACAAGAGAAGATTGCAGCTCTTCAAGCTCATCAAATTGAGATAGAGAATAGTACTGAGATAAAAGAATTGCGACTGACAAAACAACAGCTGGAATTAAAAATTCAGAAATTTGAAGCTGAACTTCATGACGAACGTGATGCTCACAAACATGACAATTTACGACGGACAGAAGAATTGCAACGTATGCAACAAACTTTGGAGTGGCAATTGCCACAATTGGCTCAAATTTGTGTCACTCGATCGAGTGATGAATGGGCGCAAAAGTGTCGTGCGGTCGCAAAGAAAGTGCGAACTGATTTAAATTTTTGTGCACTTCAGGAGCGAAATGAGTTAATTACACGCGAACGACATGCATACGAAGCATGTGAACGAATTGAATTGAAATTAAAAACTTCAATTACTGAAAATGAATTTTATCGACGAGAAATTGGACGTTTGGAAGATAATAACAAGATTTTGCTTGAACAGTTGCATACTATACGTTTATACTTAACACAACGGACAATACCAAGTGTACCACCTCCTTTCAATGTCAAGCCACTATCTGTACCATCAAATACTTCGATCAACTTAAGTGATATGGGTACAGTGAATCATTTAAATACGCAACTTGGAATTTTACACTCTCACTTTCAGCAACTTTTGGATGTAAATGACCGACAAAAATCGACGTCATTTTCTTCTAATGATCGTTTTGAATTTCCAGACTCTCCAACAGCATCAAAAGATGAAATTTCTGTTAATTGTAAGAAATTTACAAGTTCTAACGATCAAATGAAACAAAAAGATGAAAAGAATATGAAGATTGAGCAACTTGCGATAAATGCAGTAATGGAAGAAAAATTACGCAATTCGAAAGTTTATTCAATGTCATCGACTTTTCAAGAACAACAAAAGGAATTACTGACGTCTCTTGAGTCACTTGGAACGTCAAAGTCTCGATGTTTCTCATTCTTTCAAGATTCAAATAGTCATGGAAATGAAGAGAAGGAACATAATGACGAACTGAGTTCGACATTATGGTATCAACAGGATTATTGGCGTAGAAAGTATCAATAGAAGTAAAACATCTACTTCAATCGTTTCTTTAAAATATAGATACAAAGAAAACCATAAAGCTTTGAACTGATTGAGATTGTGATATAGACATCAAATGCTCGTTTTTCTGGTCGAAAAGTCTGATACTGTGGTACATTTAAAAGGCGTTGAACGAAACGTACATTCTGAAACGGAAGTAGTCGGATAGTCAAACTGTCGTAAGCTCATTTCTCACTCTGGAATTATCTCAAAAGAGTTCATTTGAAGAAGAGAATGCTCAAGTGGTTATTATTGAAGGCTTTCTTGGCTTTAAGCTTAAGATTTGTCGATTCTGAGCGTGCTGATCGTATGATTTCGTCTCGTTCAGGAATCAGACCATGGGTTGATGTTGATACTCCAAAGGATGTATACAATATCATTTCGTCACGAGGAAAAACGTGGATGCTCGTCATGAGTGATGAATTTAATGTCCCTGGACGGAATTTTATGCCCGGTGGTGACCATATGTGGACTGCGTTAGAAATGCCTGATGGGGTGAATGCTGCTCTTGAGTATTATAGTTTCAATATGACAGAAACAGTTCGCGACTCGGATGGTCGTGGAGTCTTTCGTATTCAAGTAAAGGAAGAGAAGAATATTTCATATACCGTTTGGAATACGTATGCAAAACCTGCAGCTTTCGAGACACATAGTATGTATTATCGCTCGGGTATGTTACAATCATGGAATAAATTCTGCTTTCAAGGAGGTCGAATGGAAGTTATAGCACAATTACCAGCAACAACCAATTCTAAAAATCCAGATATGGGAAATGAAAAGAATCGTGTTAAAAGTAGTGGATTTTATCCTACGTGGCCTGGAATTTGGCTTCTTGGAAATTTAGGAAGAGCTCTCTTTTCGCAATCGACAAATCGAATGTGGCCATGGAGTTATAATGAATGTAATGAACAATTAAAAGGTAGTCAACGGATTAATGCATGTGATGGTAATCCTGGCTATGGATTGAATTCCTATCAAGGACGAGGAGCTCCTGAAATTGATTTGTTAGAAGGAGGAGGAGTTGCAATCTCTACGAGCATTCAAGTGGCTCCAGGAATGCCAGATCCATTTCGTCTCATTCCACCTACAAACGATACAAATCCATATTGTGTTTATTCGGCTCAATGTACTACCAGTGGTGCAAACTTTCCAGGCATTCCGACTAAAACGTATCGTGCTCGAGGACATAAAAGTTGGTACCAAGGACTTCGATATGCTCCAAACACTTTGTGTCTCCCTGTGAGTAGCCAGATTCAAGATCCACAGACAGTCATTTCAAATACAAAGAGAGGAATATCAAGTAATACGTGTCAAGGAGTGAATACATGTCCAGCATCAGGTGATGGATACTCTGATCTAAGCTTGATAGACAATCATGGATCGAAGTATTGGGGTGTTAATGAGGTTGGTGGATGTATGCCCGTAATAAATGGATACATGGGTGCATTTTTGTGTGATCCTGATAGTTCCAACTCGAAATGTTCAGCCCCTTTAGGTGCAGAAGAGCTTAAACGGGAGCTTATGGAACCTTTTGAGTATCAAATGGATGCAATTTCCGCAAATTGGCCAGTTCAGCTTGGAGTGTACACGAGTTATATCAAGTATCAACTTGAATGGGTAACAGGATCAACAGGATACATTCGATGGATGGTTGAAGATATTGTAATTTTTGAAATCCCAGCCGAATCGGTTGAGAATGTACCTCAAGACTCAAAAAAGTCGAATCCTCGAAAGATTATGCCGGAAGAACCAATGTACGTGATTTTTAATGTCGCTCTTTCGACAAGTTGGGGAGCCACACCACCAAATCCTGGATCTCCTTGTCGTGGAAAAGGAACCAATTCTGAACATAATGATATTTGTGATGGCTTTCCAATGTATATGAAGATTGATTCTATTCGCATATATCAAGATTTGTCGTCAAACTCGAATATGTCTATTGGTTGTGATCCTTCAAGTCATCCAACGAAAAAATGGATTGAAAGTCATATACAAGAGTACGAAACACCGGAAAATAAATGGATTCAAGTTCATGGTGGAGCAAATTGTAAGACAGATCTTGATTGTACGGTTAGTACATCGCACATTTTGACTGGGAAATGTACTCGAAAAGGTCGTTGTAGTTGTGGTCTATCCGGTGCATGGGGAGGTCCACGATGTACGTTTCCACTTGCCAATAATGCTAATGGTGAAGGTTTTGGACCTCCATTGGTTCTTTCAATCTTAGTTGGTCTGGCCATTCAAGCATCTTTAGTCTTTGTAGCTTACAATCTCTTTCGAAAACAAAGTCAAAAGTCAAGTAGAGGCACTGGATTTCAACGACCAGTTGTTCACTCCAAGCTTGAGTTGGACTCCATTTCACCAACTAATGGTGGATTTAACGTTTCAGAAGATAAAGCAGTTTAAAATGAACTTTTCAAACTTTTTACAATACTTTAAGCATAAGCTGTTTGTGTTTTGATCTATGCAGTCTGTATGATGAACGATAGAATGTGGTTATTACTCTGAATCACCGTCGTGAAAGGTACCCGACAAGATCTTTTCTTCTTTTCCTTGTTCTTGGCTATCATGTCAATACAATAAATATCAGTAAATTATTGTGTAGATTTATTGGACAATACTCTTCACCCCACTTGGATAATTTTGGAAGTGTCACATTCGTATCCAGTGAATTCGTTGATTGAGTTTTCACTCTGTCAAGATTTGGAACAAACTCTCGATCAGGTCCGACAAATAACGTCTACAATTATTGAATACAATATTTCAACAATAGTTACGTATAATAAAAACAATATCTTGATAAAACTCAACCAACCTTTGCAACTGGGCTCACAATCGGAGCCTGAACAAATGGATTTTCGGTAGCAGTATCACCGATTGAGCCTTGAAAAGCATTCCACGTTGGCTGGCGCACAATAATTGCCGGTTTTTCTAAAGCACAGTCAATTATTTTCAGACCCTTTGCCAATATATTGTACAAACTCAACGTACTTGCAATCACTGTCTGCAGTCCATGTAGTGAATTTCGCACTTGAGCTTTCTCACTAAGTAGCTCAAGTCTCTGACGCTTAATATCTTGCTCTCTCTCAACTACTACTCGCCTTTCCGAGCTATAAGTATGACGATTGGGTAAAGGAGGTAAAAAGCTTGGTACATGTGGAGGAAGGCCTTCTCGTCGTCCAATCTTGGTCTGTTCTAATGTATTTCCTGACATATCTCTCTTCTTAGCTGGAAATGCTGGAACATCCCGGGGAAATGGCCGCTTCGCAGTCTCCAAGGTCTTAACAAGATCCTTTAACTCTACTGGTGCTGGGTCTAAATCCTGAAATGCTTGTACCACATCCGTACCCTTAGGTTGAGTACGTCCTGCGAGCTCTGCAATTTCTTTAGCTGCACCACCAATCCGTTGAATATCTAAACACAATATAAAACTTTGGCATAAGTTCATGTAAGCAATAAAATTATTGGTTCAATACACATCATACATTTCGGCAATATCTCTGCTAATACGTCTGCCGCTGATTTCTGCACAGCTTCAAAACCCACACCACGTGCAATATGTGCTACACTCATAAGGGACAAATTACGTGCGAATAAATCGCCACTGGAGAGACCTGCAGCGGTACCTAGAGCGTCATCTACCGCTCTTTTACTCATACTCACGCTTGTCCCATCCGAAACTGTGTGTGATGTTTTACGTATCTCCTTCTTACGTGCTGATGTGTGTGATGAGACTGAACGCTGAACGGACGGCGATGGCGCCGGTATTGGTGTCGTAGATGTCGACATGAGAGTTACAATAATATTATTGATAATATGAATTGTTAAATAAATATATCGATATGAAAATATTGTCAATAATCAAGAGGTCTCAATGTATATTGTTTCTTGGTTAAAAAGTAATGTAGATACTGCATCCATTCCTGTAGCTGTCACGTAGACTGAGGCTTAGTAAACACGCGCAAAGGGTGGAACGTGCTTGCATTCATTTTCATCCAAAGTCTGATCCTGCACAGCACGATAAGCCACGTGCGTCTTGCCCTTCTCATCATGATAAGCAACAGTGTGCTTCATCCACTTGTCATCATCACGCTTTGTAAAATCTTCACGTGCATGAGCACCTCGCGATTCTTTACGAGCTTCAGCTGCATGCATTGTACAAGCAGCACAAGCGAGCAAGTTACGCAGCTCTAACGTCTCTGTAAGATCCGTGTTCCAGATGAGCGAGCGATCAGTCACCTTAATGTCGTTAAATTTTGGTACAACCTCATCAATTTTAGCTTTTCCAGCCGCCAATGACTCTTGTGTACGATAGACAGCAGCATCCACTTGCATGGTCTTCTGCATCTCTAGACGTAACTCTGCTGTAGCAATGTTACCATTAGCATAACGTAACTTATCCACGTCTTCAATCGCTTTTAGACCGCCATCTTTTGGCATTGGACGCTTCTTCTCGCCAGGTTTTGTAAGCTCAGCAATACGTAGAGCACATGCACGGCCGAAAACAACAAGATCCAGTAAGGAATTCGCACCTAATCGATTAGCACCGTGCACCGAAGCACAAGCTGCTTCTCCAGCAGCAAATAGACCAGGTACAATCTTGTCTGGATACAGCTTGTTTGGATCCGGAAGGCCCTTCACATCAGGCATAACCACTTCACCAAGGTGATTAGTAGGAATTCCACCCATATTGTAGTGCACAGTTGGCAATACTGGAATAGGTTCCTTAGTCACGTCGACACCAGCAAAAATAGCAGCCGTTTCTGAGATTCCAGGAAGACGTTCGTGCAATAATTCAGCTGGCAAATGGTCCAGATGCAAATAAATGTGATCCCGATTTTTACCAACTCCACGGCCTTCACGAATCTCCATTGTCATTGCACGCGACACGACATCACGCGAAGCCAAATCCTTAGCTGTAGGGGCGTATCGCTCCATAAAACGTTCTCCCTCTGAGTTTCGCAAGATACCGCCTTCACCACGCGAACCTTCGGTGATCAAACATCCAGCACCGTAAATACCAGTGGGATGAAATTGGACAAACTCTGGGTCTTCAAGAGGAATACCAGCACGCAAAGCCATACCAGTACCGTCACCCGTACATGTATGAGCTGAGGTACACGAAAAGTATGCACGACCGTAGCCACCAGTAGCCAGAACTGTATTGTTTGTATGAAAGCGATGAAATGAACCATCTTCCATATTAAATGCCATAACTCCAACACATTCGCCCGCGTCATTCATGATTAAATCTAAAGCAAAGTACTCAATGAAGTACGATGTGTCAAACGCAAGTGATCGACCGTACAATGTGTGTAACATTGCGTGACCTGTACGATCAGCAGCACATGCAGTACGACGTGCCTGACCTCCTTTTCCAAACTCAAGACTCTGTCCACCAAATGGACGTTGATAAATCTTGCCTTCTTCAGTACGAGAGAAGGGCAGACCAAAGTCTTCAAGCTCTCGTACAGCTTCCGGAGCCTGTAAAGTTATCATCCAATTCGTCAGAACGTAACGTTTCCCATTTAAAGAATAAAACGTACCTCTCTGCACATGTAGTGAATTGCATCTTGATCTCCCAACCAATCACTTCCTTTAACTGTATCGTACATATGCCACCGCCAATCGTCTTCCGACATGTTCCCTAGCGCCGCATTAATGCCGCCTTGAGCTGCCACAGTATGCGATCGCGTAGGGAATAGCTTGGAGATACAAGCAGTTTTCAAACCTGCTTCCGCACATCCCATAGCTGCACGCAGACCAGCGCCACCAGCACCCACAACAACAGCATCGTATTCATGATCGACAACCGTGTATTTAGATGTTAGTGCTGACGTCTCGATACCTGCTACTGGCTGTGAGCTACGGATGGAAAAACTGCGCGTGGTAGCTGGACGAGTTAAAACTTTAGTTAGCGTTTGCTTCATGATTGAAGAACGCAACATCTCGAGAACGCGAAGGCTTATAAACGACTAGAGGCTTGGAATACTTTGCGAGTTTCGAAGTGAAGCGAATTCGTAGCCGCTGGATGAGGAGACAATAATATGAAAAGGGGGAAAATGTAGTATTTTGGATTGATACAAAAATATTTAGTTAGATTAGCAGAATGTTCTTAGCTACTAATAGTAGCTTAGAATACTATCGGTTATACAAGAATGATGGTGTCATGTATTTTAGAAACATCAACGGTAATTTTGATATCAGAAATGAATAACTGAAGCAAAAAGTCTGCGACATTATCTGCGTTTTATTACTAACTTAAGATTTACTTCATTTGTCAGCATTTCTTCATTATAAAATTACAAAGTTTTAGAAATGTCCGAAAATGAAAGCGTAAAAAGGAAGACATCATCCAACAACATGACCTATGTGCATTTAATCACAACATATTGGGCTACCACTACATAGCGCTGGCTAAGCCAATAGTCATTTCTCGACTGAGATGTCTCAAACATAATTACGCATGTTATTCTCATCTAGAGGTGCAACCACACGTTGTGTGTCAGTCACAGGTGAAAAATTATTGACGAGATACGTCCACACCAAACTGTTGTCTCTTGGACTCAAAGCAAAGCTCAGAAGTACCGTGATGAGGTTTATAGTAGGTACTTGATATTGATTACAGAGATGGAACTTCGTATAGCTCTGTGAGTCGCGTGGGCTGCTAACCCGCTTCACTGGATTTGATACGAATTGGAAGTAAAAGGTTTCTGATGACGGATTATGTGCGAAACGGTTCAAAATTGCGTACACCCAAATTGAAGTTGTGCCTACGCAGCATCTGACAGGTTGCATCCGACGTACCTCAATTTGTGTGTATACAAAGGCCACGAATACATGTTAAGAATGTCGCAGCCTTATAATTTACAGAAGAAATGGTGCAGCTTGTCTTATCATTTGACCTCTAACCCTTATTACGCCTCAAGCAATTAACCAGCTTTCTGCTAACAAGAGGCGTGTAAGGATCGTGTCGTCTGGAAAGTCGATAGAGGAAGCGGCTTTGCGCAGCAAGACATGGATTCGCTTCCTGATTTGTTTGATGTCTTTAATTGTGTGCCACGGACGAGACGCTGTTCTTACGGGGTATATAAAAATTTATCCCTGTCTTGGGCGATCAGCTGAAAGGCTAAAACTATTGTCACCACTTCGTTGCAGTCGCTACTGCCAGCAAAAAAAGAAAAGAGTAATATCAATTGCAGCATGCCATTAGAACGATTGAATATTTCAGCTTTGGATATGGTGATTTTTGCGCGAAAAATTTGAAGAGATTTATCTGCGAAGAAATCGTACGATATGGACATTTTGTGTTTGGTTCTATCGTCGCACAGATTCCTTTCAGGGAAGATAAATCAAACAGCACTATCTGCCTGACTTAATTCTAGATATAGAACTCTCAGCATTTAAGCGAGAAAAGTATTTAAAGCATCAGCAGCCCTCGATTTGCGCCTGTGTGACGAATTCGCTCAGCGATACTTAATGCGGTCTTGTTGTCAAAGCTTCCTTTGCGTGACGTGAGACAGAACTTTAAAATGTCGAGACGATCTTAAAAACCTGCTATCCTTCACGGAAGGCAAGCCTATTGCCTAATTGTTGGTTATCGACATCTTTGCACCAGGTATTCAAAGCAACGAAAAGTTTGGCAGATTTATGGACGTTATGCGATTATGTGCGGCGCAATACTGTTTAAAGCAGTAATGAAGGCATTAAGGATGCCACAGTATTGTATAACCTTGCGTCTAGAGATATATACACGTCACAGTGTTTTAAAACGAACGATAACGCTTTGGAGGAAATGTAGTCAATTGCTTCAGAAATGCGACATCCACATTTATATATTCTTCGCTTACCAATGCTTTCAAGATTGCGACACTGCTGCGTCTGACCACTTGTCTTACATATCGTATCGTGACATGCGACAGCATAAGATATCGCGAAGTGAAAGCGTTTTCGCCTTCTCGCTAAGCCAAGCCGGTGTTACTCTTACCTAAATATTACACTCGCCATTGGTTGTTAGGGATTGTAAAGTTCAGACTACACCTGCTTGGTTCTGAGCTAGTTGTAAGCTACACAGGCAAGGCATTGTGGCGCACAGCATACTATACAGCAAGTAACGCCCGTCATGAACCGAATCAAAATTTTCTGCTATTCTCAGTTGGCTAAACTCAAGCGCAGAAACACGTTCATGCATAATGACATTTTCTTGGAGTCAAGCACAGCCTATGACAACAGTCTAAAAGTGACAGACTACGGACTATGTTGAATGAGCTCAACAGAAAAATCTGAGGCGCCAAAAAGCACTTGTCTTTGTTAGCATACGGCTTGTTGAAGCGCATACAGCCAAGCTCCACTCACATTATTTGATGTAGATGTCCCCATTTGATTCAACGCGATCGGCGCGATTATGGTCAAACGTTATTGTCAAAATAGCTGTGTGTATCCGATTCGGTCTAAATAGCTGTTTTACTGCATTGTTGAAAGTTTCTGGTGTGTTGGAAGGTAACTAGATCCTACCCGGCCATTTCGGAGCACTATGAGCAATCGAAATGCCCATTGCACCTACAAATTGGGAATACGAGCAGTTAAGTAAGCAAGGTACAACCGAGCGTGATGTTTTTCAGCACGTACTTTTTAGGAGTCGGTCGTTGAGCCGTAGTGATGAATGCATAACATTTAGCGGAAGGTCACATAATGAGTTCTGAAGGATTATCGGACTTGGCAATCATCAGCCTTTTTGACACAGAAAGTCGGTACCTAGAGGGAAGACATACGCTCTCTACCCAAATCGCCTCGTGATTTGCAAATGAATTTTTATTGACCCCGCGCTTGTATAATAATTGGAATGAGAACAATTTAAATCCCTTAACGAGGATCAATTGGAGGGCAAGTCTGGTGCCAGCAGCCGCGGCAAGTGAGGCGTCGCGAAAGGGATCCGTGTGCTTCTTGGAGATAGCTGCTACATTTTTTGCACTAATTGATCTTCGTGTGTCATCGATAAATTACAACCCATGCGAAGCCATATCATACCATTTCGACCACTATTTCGCCGCCCAACTCTTTGCATACACCCTCGTAGCAGTACATGCTACTCAGCAAGAGCATCCACTTGAGATAACCAGGGCCTGGCTCAAATTGCGTTTACAGTCGCCCGTCTCCCTTGAATCTTGCGCTGGAGACCGCACTTTTACTTGTTTGTACGAAATCAGACTGGAGCAACCAGTCAGTCTCATTCATCCGCCATAAAACTTTCTAAAGCCATAACCTACTGCAACACCAATGAGCTCAACGAGCCATATACTTTGACGACACGAAATTGCATCGCTAAATTTTGAAACCCATCATATATGCACCCGGCAGACTGCGATGTACGACCACATCTTTCTGTATCATCCTAAAAGCACGGACCTCTACCGCCTCTGCCTTCCGAACTTGCTCAAGACACTTAGCAATATCGCTTTCAGCGAATTCTAAAGAAATATTATGCCCATCAACAAAGCAATCAAGACTCAGTACCCACACCAAAATTGCTTTTGCTATCTAAAAGAAATGGCTTCATTTGAAGTTAAAGCTTTACTAGGATAAGATTATGCGGCACCTTGCGTTTTCGACTTCCGATCGACCCATGACATATAGTTCTTTGCCAGTTCACACCAAGGATGGGATCGCATATCTAACGCAAAACTAGAGACAAAGAGCGTTCCACGTTGCAAGAGTTTTCATTTTAGCAGACGCTGCGATAGTATCTTTGGCAATATGACTTGTATCCATCACTGGACATATGATTATGAATTCCTATTCGTCAATGATTAATGCCATCGCGTGTTGTCTACTATTATCCCAGTCGCATGTCGCGAGCTCCTGAATAGAGCAGGTTTCTTCTGGTATAACTAGAGCCAGGACCTTTATAATGACAGCCATAAATCTGGAAATTTGAGACCTAGAGAGTCGCGCCTTCGTGGGTTAGCGCACACGAGGTATACGAGAGCCATATAGGCCGATAAGCACCGACAATAACTCGGCATTCGATGAAGCTCGATCCTTAACCAGCATAGAAAAGGTCACACAGGGCGTAAAGTTCTGGCACTGCAACAAAAAAAACACCTGCTATATAAACTACGTCGTGTTTTGGCAGCTAAGAGGCTACCGATCTCCCCCTTATCCGGCAGAGGCCGATCGCTTTGATGGTGCAGTCACAGTACTTCCATCTCTGGAGATCCGAGCTTCCGAGCATTATCCGCATATATCGTTTTTGTGCGGACAGACAAGAATTGTGATTGCGCGCAGTAAACCTTAATAGACGCCATGAACACTCGCATTATCCGTCGTTCGACGACTCGATAGAAAGTCTATTCTACACAGGTACAAAACGTAAGTGCGTATACCCACCCGCGATTTTATTTGGTTGAAGATCGCAAGCGCTACGCAGTAATGTTCCATTTATAGCATGCCCAAAAACATGATAATTGTAAAGAGAGACATATTCCTCGTCTCTCCCATAAAGTTTTGACGGTTAGCGAATGCAGCCTCACTTGCTGAATTTGTAGGAGCGGGATATACCCTTATAGACGTCTGGTCAAACTGTTGCGAAGTGCTTCTCGTCAGTGCATGCTAAGTGAGTAATAAACGCCTTCAGTTAGGCGTTGATCATCGGGCTGGAACCAACTAAAGACAGATTTTTATTTTGCGCGTTTTGATATTTGGAAAACATTTATCTGAACGATCACCCAGAGGAGGCAGTGACATTGAGTCCGTCGAACCGAAGCCAAGTGCTTTCAGATGCAACAGGACTGCCGCGCACCTTCTCAGATGGAGCTTTACTTCAACGAGCTTGCGTTTACACACACAGTGGATAAGCTCTACGATTTGCCATGTAATTAGAACTGAGACCCTTTTAAGTGACTTGGTACCCCGTCCAATAGTGACATGTTTCATGGTTCAGGTCAAGCTTGAATCGGTGCTGAATACACCCGTTCGTGATTAGCACATTTCGTGAGGATAACAGCTACATAAATTCCCTAAATGAAGTACCATCATTTTCATCCGTGCCGAGAAACAAACGCAGTTTTTCAGAATGGTACATCGCTAAAAGCCAGGGAGCACAAGTGTTAAAGCATGTTGCTACGCAGTACTTTACTCGAGAAAGCGTACGAGAAATTGTTCACGTGTGTTGGCTTCAAGGGATCTCAAAAGACAAAATACTTCTTTTTATGAACTTTTTGCAAACAATTTAGTAGGATAAACCTATCCAGTTCCGACACTGAGTGTGACACTTCACAACAAAGAGTTTAACGACATCATATATTATGATGTACCATACACAGAAGAATCCCCATAATTTGGAGGCAAGAACCATTCCAACACGCGAATTCTGTCAACTTTCTCAATGTTGATCTCCCATTGTCACAATTTTTGTTGTCTTTAGCTAACGATATTCCATGCTAATTACCGTTTACAAGTAACTAAAACTTGAAACATCATATCCCATCGCACCTACTTTTCCAGAGTCGGAACTTGTTTCAATAGCACATCAATTTCATAATCTCCAGAATCGAACTTAAACGGATACTCGTGCATTTTTCAACCAAAAGCTATAGAAGCTCCTAGCTCTGTGGCCGCCATGGGTGGCGACAAAAGCTGCCGCCATGTACGGCAAGCTATCCGAATTAATGAATTCCGTCGTGAGCTTAAGAAGCAACCACAACTTTTCTGTCAGGTATGTCCTGGAATCTCTTGCCTTTCTAATACGTAAGCGTAACGGTTATTCTGTAACTACCCACGTTTTTCATCTTTACTTATCACATTCAAGGGGTGTGTGCCATCGCCATCAAGCGAGCTTGGAACCGCCACACTTCAAAGTTGGGAAAAATATCTCGAGGACGTGGATCTTGTCGTGTGTGTAACTTGTGGCTTTATAGGCTGTTTTAGTGACGGTCACTTTAGTCTCCATCTTCAAACACATCCCAAACACTTTGTTGGGTTTCAATTCGCGTCGAAAACATTTTGGTGTGAACCTTGTAATATTGATATTCCAATAAACGTGCGGCCAAAGGTTGAGAACGCTCGGTTGGAATTTTGCAGTATAATTGAGGAAATTGCCGCGAAAAAGAAGCGACAAATTCGTAGTCAAATGCGCTCTCCTGCGGCACATCAAACGCCATTGTCACCCATTATGACGCCTAATAGCTCAGATAGTAATGGAATTGATCATGATATTGATGTGGAGACACCTCGAAAGTCTCGAGAAGTGACAACTAATGAGATTAAAGCTGATGTGGGACGAACACATGCTTTACTGGATATGCCATTGAAAACAAAGGCACGAGAGGACAGAATGCGACGAAAAATACTTCAAACAGCCATGAAAAGGGAACCGATGCAAGAAGTACAAGTTTCATTGAATGACCACGTTACTGGGACAGGAGATCTACCAAATACGGTGCTCGGATTTACAAATCTAGGCAATACTTGCTACTTTAATGCTGCCATACAAGCACTTTTGACAGCCACGCATTATTTTCCGGAACATACGCATATTGACGACGTTTTAGAGACGAAAAGAACGCCTATTATCACGACTTTTACGTACGTTTAGTATGTTTGGTGTTACAAATCATGTGAAAAGTTAATAAGATGTGCTTGGTACTGTTGCGATGATTTTAGAATGTTACATGAGACGGTGAGAAAACGTGCGCGGAAAGCTTTTGCTGAAAAAGATTCTATTGATCGAAGAGGAAAGAGTAAGAGTAGTCGATCAGTGCTGACTGTAGCGCCACTGCTGAAAGAGATGCGCAATAAGTTTTCACAGTTTCGTGGCCACTATCAACAAGACGCTCATGAGCTCTTTACTAGTTTCTTATGGGCCATTGACGAAGAGATGGATCCTCCATTGCCTTTTGATACTGATGCTAATGACATCGATGGTATTGATGACAGCACCACTTCCAATTGCACAGGGAATTCTTCGGAAGTACCGGATGATGATGAGGATTCGTCTCGACAAATTCAAGGAAGATGGACGGAAGAAGAGACAACGGAGAATGAACAAACGATAGAAGGAGAGCACGAAGTCGAGGAAGAAGGCAGTGAAAGTGATGTGGAACAAGAGGAAACGAAGCAGATTTTTGTCAAAACTGAAACAGGAGAAACTATCTCACTGCAAGTACCGAAGAGTTCTACTGTACAGCAAGTGCAACACTTATTGGCAAAGAGACTTAATCTCAATGAAGACGACATGATACTAGACGGTTCTGAAATCGAAACTCGCGCAACGCTTTCGTCTCGACCGTCTGCTGTGCTTCACGCTCGAGCTGAGAAGCGACAAATGTATTCAAGACTAAATTTGACACGCAATTTGTTTGGTGGCGCGCTGACGACTGCAGTAACGTGTCAAGCATGTGGCAATCGTACCGAAATTGTCGAAGATGCGTTTCATTTAAGTGTCTCGATTCCAACGGTGCAACACCGAGAGTTAACGACTAGAGACTGTCTTGACAACTTTGTGGCCGAGACGCAATTGCTCGTATCAGCTAATAATGGTTACGATTGCGAAAAGTGCTCACGACAGCCTAAAGCTCGTAGTGTTGCTGGTCTATTCATGCGAAAAAAACGTCTTGGATCGAACAATGAACCTGAGATGGAAGTTGTTTTGCGAGATGCATCGATGCAGTTGTTTGTGTCTGCATTGCCTCGTGTTCTTGTTGTTCACATCAAGCGACTCGCACGTTCGAGAAAGATGACACAACACATTGCCTTTGATGAGAAACTTGACATGACGCCTTACGTGAGCGAAATATTGCGGCAAGGTGGCGGCGATGCAAAGACTCATTCACTTTCTTTTGAACTCATCGCTGTTATCGTGCATATGGGTAACAAAAGATCGGGACACTATGTTGCGTACGTGAGTCGCTCTCGTCGTCGTGAAGCACTCCTGCTACCGCGTTCACGCAAGCGAGATGAAGGAGCAGAAAAGATCACGTCTCGAAGGGGTGATGGCCCAGCACGGACGTGGTACTACGTCTCGGACACAGTCGTTAAACGAGTGTCTTTCGAGCACGTTTTACAGTGCGAAGCATACATGCTTTTCTATCAGCGTCGACCAAAAGTCGCCGGAACAAAGACACCGACACACTCTCCAATTGTTGACACGGAACGCTCGCCGACAGAGATGTCACTATGACGAACAGGGCTAGATCTTGCTGTAGTTTCAACGTATAAGGCTATTTAATAGACCACAATGAGCGAACTGGAGAAGGAATGCTGTTGACATGGTTGTGCAAACGTTTCTCGTTCCTTTGAGTTAAATGACTCGAACGTTTCAATGTTAAATTAGCTCTCGTACTTGTGGTCTATTTCCAGCTCGGTAGTCATCGCGTAGAATGGACAATGCATGCAAAGAGCATGACCATGAGCACGAAATTCAGTGGCGTGACGAGTTGAATACTAGGTATATCACTATGATGGATGCTGACGAGGTTTGTTTGCTCTTTCTGGACGACCTTCTCACTGGTATCTTCCAAGAAATGCAAGTGCGTGCAGAAAATCTAGCGCTTTTCTCAATACCAGCACGTCAACTGTGCGTACAACTTTTCGAGAGTCTTAACGTGAGTGCATTAAAACCATCCCCATCGCTGGATCAATCACCTGATCGATGGTATACTAGAGATCAGTCAAATATTCTACAATATGACCCTCAGCTTGGTGATTTGTCATCAGATTGCTCGAAAAGCGCGCTACAACTTCTTGATTCATCTCATTTGGAAGTAGGAGAATCTATCTGGACTAAGGAAGAGACTCCACCGCAAAGTATTGAAATTGATCGTCAAGTTCCTGGTCAAATTGGCAAAAAAGCGTCAACAAATGCTGTTGAGCGTGCGATGAAGCGTAAAGTTTTGCTTCAGATGCCACGACGGCAAGGGAGTCGATGGAAAACAGTGCAGAATAAAGTTGTGACGGACTTAGGAATCAAATTAACGCGAGATAACGCTACGAAACGGTCTGCTAGGAGTGTGAGCTCAGAAAATGACGCAGACCAACCGAAAGCTGTGACATCTGCTAACATTTTTTCGTTGGATAAACCGCAAGAGGTTTTAAGTCACGAAACCGCATGTCGACAGGATCTTTCGACGCAAGCTGAACAGGAAGTAGCTCGTCGTACTATCACAACCAAAAGTGCATTGCTAAGTATCAATAAATCACCTCTTGGCAATCCTGACGCGCTTGGCATCTCATCACGAGGTGAGTGTCAAGTCTCTTATGCTAACGTCAGAGCGAAATCGATTGTCACATTGGGAGTCGAGTCTCTTTCACCCACTCGACCGCTACAAGGTCGAAAGAATGTCAAGAATCCACGAAGTAAATTCGAGTTAGAGCGCAAACCATTGCTTTTTGCTATTTCTGATTGCGTACAAGAAGAGCCTGACGAACGACATGCTGCTGTGTGCTCACCTATCCAACAATCTTGTCCATTTTCACTACCTGAAAGTTTAAAACCTGAACCTCCTCTGCCGATGTTGCCTTTACTCAATTCTTCTAGTCTTGCTGTTGGAGTAAAAGCAGTTGTTGGTGGTGTTGAAATTCGAGGACCAAAGCGATATCCAAGCCGCAATGTACGACTTCGACTTCATAATTACAGAGTAAGTTCTGTTTGGAAGTTTGACAATGTCATAGTAACTTGATACCGTGTTTCTTAGCTCTCAGAAAAAGAGCTCAGCAGTTCAGACCATGACTTAGCGGATTGTGGCCATGTGCCATTTTCTCCTGTTCAAACGTCAGCTGTTCGAGATGAAGATTCGTATCGATTGCCGATTCTTCCACTCATGTCTCCGATTAAGGCCAATCCACTTAAACATGTGACGCTTAAGTCACAGAATTATGATGGTATGAAGGGAAGAATGACTAGAATTTCCCCCAAGTCTCATGTACGTCAACGACCTGTACCGAAAGTAAAACAACAAGTATGGGAAAGCTCCAATCCTTCGCCACCACGAGTTCGGAATTATCATTTTGCATCTGGTAAAAGTTTTCGAAAGATTTTCTTTAGTCATGACAATGACGAAGAATTATCTTGTGTCAAATTACAAGAGGATGAAAGAGAGAATGATTATCAGGTAAGTCGATATTGGCTATCGATGTGGATGTTTTGGATTGTAATGATGCATTGTCATTCTTCTTGGTGCAGTCTTTGGTGGCACCACGACGAAATGATCTACCGGTAGTTGATTTATTCAATTCAGAATTATTGGCTGATTACGATTGTGACAATAATTTTTAAAACGTCCTTATTAGCGTCAATTATCTGAATGTGTATGTTTTGGGCTGGATAAAACTTGTATTGAGTATTGAATGGATGTACTAGTGTCCGGATCATGATGGACGTGCACATAAAATTATGCTGCTAATTCTCAAGTATTGATTGGCTATTCAGATATTAAGCTTAGTGTGTCAACATAAACGTCAAGCTAAATTTAAAGCAATTCTGAAGCTTTCTTGTCCTGCATATGTAAGATTAATATACATTTTGTATTGTCTTTATTTAGCCCACGGCTGTGTGTCGGGAAAGATATAGATCGGGTACAGCATGTTGCCATACGAAGCTGTAGAAAGCATTGACTGTTCGTTGTAGTCAAAATCAAAGGTCATCTTTGTATCGTACTCGTCCAAGCAAGGTGGCTAGAGAAGGTTCGAAGTAGATTAACAACATTAACTCAAAATTAAAAAAATCTTTCGTACCTCTGTACAGTAATACCAGCCAAGCACATCATGCTTCTGCCACGAGTTACTCGTTGACGCCGTAAAACCCTTACACAAACAACCTTTGACATCTTTTATCCCGATATCTTGATGCTTTCAAACGTACAATCGATGCTTCATCGGAATCTAATCTCAAAGTAGCTGCCAGATTGATTGGAATAGCTAATATAGGTATATCCTTTTCGATTCCTTCATCCATAAAAACCAAAAGGGTTCCAACCCTTCGACCTTCTGACACATCTTTTATAAACTTGACCAAGTTTGTAGTCGCAGAAAAGAAGGCTAAATACTCAAGCTATAACATTGTGAGCATCTGAATGTAGACAATTACTTGACATTACCTTTAGCTCTGAATAATATCGAATTTTTACGACATGCATCTTGCCATCAGCGAGATCATGCACAGCAGCTGCCGAGATTCGAGCACTTTCTAACTCTACATTGCTGCTCTGACCGCGGGAGTAAATAGCTACATGATCATAAAACACGTCTTCTCCGACGTTGTCATCGTTAAACCACGTATCAAACTTAATAGCCAGAGAATTTTCAAGACCAGAAAACCCCATATTCGAGCCCATTTCTGCAAGAGTCGCTGTGCCATTTTTATGTGAGTGAAGCACAAATGCTAAGCCGTCACCTCCATGTACTGCACAACTTCGATACTCGTGAAGACCAAAATTTTGATCCTTCACTTCAAAGCAACGTCGAGACTGGTCGGTTATTTGAAACGTAAATCTCGTTTCAAATCCTTGCAATATTGGAAGCCTCTGAGCATACCACACCGATGAAATCTGGTTTGGCTGTGAAGCTGTAAGACGGAGACGCCTAAGGCATTGAGTCTTTTCATTGCTTGCTTTAAATACATCACGGTGACCCAACATGGCACTTTCCACCGCAATTCGCTTGCTAGTCATGTGATTGTCTGTGTCACAAGTCTCAAGACGAACCGTGTTGGGCTGCTCGCTTACTATGACTTCTAATGAGGCTTCACGCAAATCAGCCGCACCAGCGAATCTTGAGTATGCCGTCTGTACTCGTATCTCATCAGTAACGAGCATTGTATGTCAACAACAAGATCATCGCGTACCGCTGGCAATGGTGCACAACTACTCGTGGCTGCATTTCCATTTAGTACCAAGCCTGTTGTTTCATTGAAATCATAGTATACAAATCCTGACCAAGAGAACCTTAGTAGACGCCTCAAGTAGTTTAAATATATGTGTGAACCTGCATGGATGTTGCATATATTCGGGTAAAGTAGAAGCGCACAACTTATCCACCGTCTCATTTGTAATTGTCGAGTTGATATCCTCAAAAGGTCACTTTAGATATTTTATTAATATTTGAAGCAGTATACGTAGTGTCGATATGATGATATTCCATTCCAATGATGAATTGTTAGATGGCACAATTGCTTCTTCCTGTAATCAATATACCACCTCTAAATCACAGGGAGATGATAGAGCAGTCCCCTCCTGTATCGGGACGTTGCTTACATTAGTCGTATACATTCTTGTTGGTGCTTATTGCTATACCAAGTGTTCAAGCCACATAGGTTGTGAAGTTAATTAATTATTCTTAACTACAATCAAAGGTCATCATGTTTATAAAGAGGAAGCGATCAATGTATCAATGACAAGACTATCTAATGATTGCTGATGTTGGTTATTTCGCATATTTGTCGATTCGAAGTCTACGATCTAATTCGCCATGCTCGAGCTAAGCAGGTGAATCGTCACAGCCTCGTTGAATGTAAATGGTCCCTCGACGCTGCAAAGTTGGTATTATATCGGTATTTACAATGCCAGATTAGTCGCCGCGGATACAAGACGATTTTCAAGAGATTTTTCTAGCTATTAAGCCGCACTACACGCGTCTTGTTTCTTTCACTGTATCTGTGTCAGAACTCCAGCTATGGTGGTTATCATTGATCCGTAAAGTCGATAACCGCCGCGAGTTTCTACTTTCTTATAACCATCATATGCTATTTAAGAATACAAAAGATATCTTCGGATATTCAAAAGAATTTTTCAAACGCTACACAGCCATCAAACGTTATCGTAAATGGGTTACTCGAACGATCTAGAGACGACTTTAGAATAAGCAGCCATATCCTCGAGCATATATATTCAATTTCGTTTTGCTGAACGTTGTTGATCGAGTAGAAAAGAGATTTTAATATATTTGATGCTTACCTTCCATCAAATCAACTCGTCTAATAGGCTTTATACGTAGTTAACAGGTAAATCAATAGCACACCTCATTCCTCACACCTTCACGAAACGCTAGTGTATGAATTCTCCTAATACATGCATCAATCTAAACGATTTTTAAAAACAAAGTGCTTGCTTTTTTCTTTAAGCCTCGTCGACTTCGTTGCTATAGCAATGACTGCTGCAAGGCAAACCAAAATAATTGTCAGAAGCAATGCTCTGGTTCGTCGCTCCAAAATTCGGAAATTTGTATTGATTTGTAATATCCGTTGGGTGGAGGATACGCGAGTCTTCCTTTTCAGCCACGGACTTTGGCCCTTCCATTCACCGACACAGCGCCTGTTGACATGTACGAGACGATCAAGTTGATAATTTTATGTCTATTGAAAGCTCGTGTCATTTCGCTTCTTTTTGTGATTTCGCCTCACATTATTTAGTCTCATAGCTCGACATCGGCTACAAGCCGGTGCAAAAACACACTTGACTCTCTCGCATATCATTAGATCATGTTTGCTGCAATCGTTCATTGCGAATTTTGTAGTCAATAAAGATTTGCTTTTGTATTAAGTACAATATTGTCTTGGTCAATGTATTAAGAGACCGACCTCTCGTCAAAATGGAGCATTCAGAAGTGTACACTATTCGACGAAGTGAAGAGCGTGATCAGATCCAAGTGCTTGAGCTAGACTCACCCAGTAAAGATGCTCGTCGGGCATACTTTGGTCGTACACAAGTTGGTGTTGTAATTGAAACGTCATTATTGGCACTGACAGCGACAGATCCAGCAAGACCCGAACGAGTTTTAGGCTTTGCTGCGTTTGATAGCTCGCCGTTGGGTGAAGTGGCTACTGAAGCTTGTTTTCCTGCATTTCTTGAACACAAGTTCGATTTGCCTCCTGTACGATCTCGGAATAACAATCACAGCTCTTCCTTATTGATTTTATGCCTGATAATGCTATATGTACGATATGATAGACTTCATCCTTCGTGTTTCTGACATACATTGCCCAAAGGCAGGCGAAGACGAACCGCTCGCCAGTACTGAAGCATCTACTGCAGACAACGTTCGGTACTTTATCGCATATTCAATGCGTGCTGCTTGTTTTTCCAGAAGATGTGAATCTGGTCGAGGCTGAACCAGCGCTGGCCAAGTTTTTTGAACGGGTACCGGCCCGTTCAACTCCGATGCAAGTTCCGAAGGGTTCACAAGCGACTATGGCTGAATGGAGACGTCTTGAACAACAATTTGCCAAAAACGACAAGAAGTTTTGTCAGTTTACAGTGTACCAAGCAAAGGTGGAAGCGTTTTACCCACCCGTCAAAGTCCGTCGCGCAAGAGTAGAAGACCACGACGATGTGGAGCCGATTTTGACGGCACAAGCTGATAGCGTTTCCTCTGCCTTTGGAGAATATTTCTTGGCGGAACTTATCAATGACCAAGACGAGCACAACGTTTGTTTAATTGCTGAAGCTTCAAGTAGTACAACGAGTTGTGCGAGTCAAAATCGAGCTGTGGGTCTATTGGCGATCTCAGATCAGATCGATGTCTGCACTCTTCAAGATAATTTTGCTCTCAAAGCACTCAATGATTTAGCTAATAGTACTTCAGCGACTGACGCAGTTACGCCACCGAGACTAGTGATTGCTGGCCCACCTGCTGGAGGAAAAGGTACACAATGCGAGCTTTTGGTTGAGGCTTTTAATGTGCTCCACCTTTCAACAGGTGATCTTTTACGCGCAGCAGTGGCGAGTGGCTCACCACTGGGGCTTAAGGCTCAGCAATTTATGGACTCTGGACAATTAGTGCCTGACGAGCTAATTGTAGACGTAGTACTTGATAGGTTGGGTCAATCCGATTGTGAAGTGCGAGGCTGGCTACTGGATGGTTTTCCACGTACAGCCACACAAGCCGAGGCATTATTAGCTGCAGGTTTCTGTCCCGATGCAGTCATTGCCCTAGATGTACCAGACGAGGAAGTCGTACGGCGTATTGCTGGGCGTCGAGTTGACCCAGAAACAGGAAAAACGTACCATCTTGAGTTCAATCCACCGCCAGAAGAAGAACTAGTGCTTGCTCGGCTCGTACAGCGCAGCGATGATACGGAAGCTACAATACGTGAGCGTCTTTCAACATTTCACAAGCATCTGGCCTCAGTTCTGTCTGCGTTTCAATCAATCCCAGGCTCTCGAGGTGCACAGATCATTACTGTGAATGGACTTCAGTCTAAGCATGTGGTCGCACAGTACATTATTCATCAGATTCGTATCATCAAAACGGCGCAAAAACTACAAGTGCTGATTCAAAGGCGTGACGTGACACCTCCAAAGCTGGTCATTTCGGGTCCACCAGCAGGAGGCAAAGGCACACAATGTGAACAGCTAGTAGCATTGCTTAATATTGTGCATTTGTCCACTGGAGATATACTACGCCAGGCAATCCGTGATGGATCACCTCTAGGAATTCAGGCTCAAAATTTCATGAATGGAGGTCAATTAGTGCCCGATGAGTTGATTATGAACGTTGTGCTTGAGCGTATCGTACAACCAGATTGCGAGAGGCGAGGGTGGTTGCTTGATGGATTTCCACGTACATCTACGCAGGCTGAAGCTCTGCTAGCAGCTCGTAATGGAAAAGCGGCTCCGGACTACGTGCTTGTACTTGATGTGCCGGACGACGAAGTCATTCGTCGAATCGCCGGGCGTCGCGTTGACCCCGAGACTGGGAAAACGTATCACGTTGACTTTAATCCTCCACCTCCCGAGATCAAAGCGCGTGTAATCCAGCGTAGCGATGATACGGAGGAGACACTACGTACGCGACTGGAGCAATTTCATGCGCATAGTGATAGCGTATTAGCTACATTCAAAGCTTATCGCGGCGACAACGGCTCAGCGATTCAGATCATTCGGTCTGACGGGTTGCAATTGGCTCCTTTAATCACCAAGGCTTTTATGACTCCGATGATTCAACGTTGTAAAGAGGCAGAAGCGAGTTTGTTGCAACGATCTGGAGCAGACAGTTTTCTTAAGATGATTCGTGCCGAAGCGCGCACGAATTGCTTCGCTATTACATTATTTTGCGTTGACGAAAATGCGTTTGAGCGCTCATCGTCAATGGATTTACTGTCAGCAGCGTTTGCTGCCTTCCCAACTCGTGACTACTGTTTACTCACTCTGCCCACACATGCACGAGAGCCTCCGTGTCTCAAATTCTTCTCTCGAATTCCAGCAAATCCGGCAAGTACATTCACGCATGCTCTGTATGTGTTACATCGTGAGGCAATTTCTTTCTTCTGCCCACGTATGAGCGATGATCGTATCGTTCTTAACCCCGTACGGATTGACGTGCAACGTTTTCTTCCGAGTGACGTCAGCGCTGCCGAAGACAAGGCAGAATTGGCTCCATTTATTACTGGACTCAATCGTCAAGCACGCTTAGAAGTCGATCAAGAGCTTGCAAGTGCCATGGAGGAAGCGGAAAGTGATTTAAAGGACTTGCCGCGACATGTAGCATTCATTGTGCGTGCGAATGGACGAATTGTAGGGCTGGCCACGCTTGAGAGACAGCCGGATATGTCCAGCTTCTTGCCTCAACACTTTGATATTGATCGGGTAGCACGCATGACAATCCACCGTCCCAGAGATCTGGCGTTTGTGCGTCACTTGATCCTTAATCCCATCTTTGCATCGTGCTCGCGCTTTGTCCTACTCGAGCTCATGCGTCTTTTCCAGAAGACCTGCCTTATGTATCAGGTGCCAACCGAGGGTTCCGACAAGTCAAGTCCAGCGTTGTTTAGTGCGTTAGACGAATTTGTGCTGGCTCCACCTCGACGGGGTGTACGAATCAGCACAGCACGAGATTTTCAAGCTACGACCAGAGATGATGAGAATCTAGACGACAGCATAAAAGATGAACGGGAGCGACGACGACAAGCAGCACTTTGTGCGGCCTTTGCACTGTTCGTTCTTCCTAAACGCTTGCTGTCTGAGCCCAAGCTGACGGTAAATCAGAGGATAGTTTTTGTGGGAGCATCGGATGCTGCTTTGAGCTGTTTGACTCGCTTGGTTGCGATACCATACTTGCACTTTTCCAACCTCACCCTTGTGTCTTCTCATGGACTGACGGTAGCACCGACGGATGAAGACGAAGACATTACTAGCCCCAAACCTTCAAATTTTGTACGAAAGAGTCTGTTCAATGCAGTGGAGCTCAAGCAGTTTAGCTTACGTACTCATGTTCGAGTTGTTGCGAGTCGCATGGTGCGTCTGGACCGGAATACTCGTGCTATCATTCTGCAAGATGGTTCTTGTATACCGTACGATTATTTGGCACTAACGGCAGGGCTTCAAGATGGTACGTGTACTGCACTTGGGAAGCTGCCACGCTTTGTGGATGAAGATTTTAGTGAATCAAACGGAAAAATGATTCAAGCGACGTATTCTTCCCCGGTAGTTCCGGATCACATGGTGGCACTAGGAGATCTATCAACAGCCCAATGGCTTCACACGGCAATGAACAAGGCGCTCACATACGCGAATGACGGAAATGGAGAAGTTTTTGTAGTGTATGGCAGCACATTGTTGGCACTTCAGGTAATACAAGCGCTACTGGCTCGTGGAATAAAGGGAAACAGCATTCATCACGTTTCCCCATCACGTGAGAAAGGATATGGCGTGTTTGAAGATGCGGTGGTGCGCGCTGAAATGGACAAGCAGTATAGTACAAGTGGAGTCTCGCTTCATGCTGGAATGAAGATCATTCAAATCGAAACCAAGCCAGAGAACGACAGTGAGCTTCAAGGTGTCCGCATCATGCCTTTACATGACTCAAAAAATACCGTGCTAGCTGATGGCGGTACAAGAAATTTGTCGGTGGAAGGCAAGTTTCTGTCATGCTCATGGTTGTTGTGTTGCCAGCAGAACGACTCGGATGCTGACCTGTTTCGTGCCGTGAATGAAAGTGGTCTCGTGTACGACGGACGTCTTGTCGTGGATGGTCAGATGCGCACGACTGATACGCACGTGTTGGCTGCAGGAACATTGTGCCGGTTTTCAAGGCGTTTCATTGATGCCAAGTTGCATGAAGGCTACAGCAGCCTTGAAGGTGGTAAACTGCTCGCGAACTCGCTACTTCAGCTCGTTGATCCCTTAGCGCTTCTTGATTCGTCCTCGATTGCTCACTCATCTACACAATCGACAAAGACACGCATGATACCACCACCAAAGATGGAGATGCCAATTATTCGTAGCGCTGTCGTCCTTGGTGGTAAGCACTACGTACAAGTCAGTGTACCTGATCTAACCAATACGTTAGCATTACATCCACTGTCCACAAACACTGCATCACAAGCAACTGACGTGAACCTCATCGATACGGACAATCGTGCACCGTCTAGTCTTGGTAGAAAAATTAACGAATCATCGAGATATACGTGTCTGTTTTTTGACGATGTCGGAGTGCTGATTCGGCTCGAGTATTTGGGAGACGATCCCGTGTCCGTCCGCAATCTCCAAAACCTTGTGGGGCTGCACGAAGCGTATCTCAATAGTGCAGTGGCATCGTATTCGGCGGGCAAAGTGGTCGACTGGGTGACGTTTTTTGCCCAACCGTGGGCCAGCGCTCTGTATCACGATCGATTTCCGGCTTTCCGTGCCAGATTGCGTGAGTTCTTGGCCAAAGATGATGAGGTTCGTGCGATTGCAGATGACGCAGTGGCGTTCATGCGAGAGACTGGCGATACGATGGGGGCGATAGCATTGGCACAGGAGCGTGTTGGACGTGGCGGTGGTAATCTAGAACCGTCTACTCGACGACTTGTGGAGAGCCAAGTGCTCGAGTTCTTAAGTTCCAACCGAGATGTCTTGAACATGTTTTTGCTGCCTAAAGGACAACAGAGTAGCAAGTGAGAATGTGAGTTTGAGATAAAAGAAAGGTTATAAATGATAAACATTTGACAGTTTGAAGGGTAACTTTATATTCCTGAGAGCGATGTAACAACAAGAGGTGTGTGTTTGAATTTGATGGTCAACACTTACCACCACATTGAAGTGTGGGTATGAGCGGATGGATTTTTGAACTGTTGTTGTGCTAAAGTGTTAATACATGTTCAAGTAATCTGAAATATTAAGGAAAGAATCATGATAAAATTGACATATATTACATTTGAATACTCGCAACACGATGAAGGTCAACACCCAAAATGATACAGATGCGGTTGTTTGTCAATGATATAGTAGATCCTCATTCTTGGAGAATCTTGTCGACATTACTCATGAAGTGTAGACCAGCTTAAGATCGCCCCAATTAGAAAACTTAGTAGTCGAGGCTGGATACCATGTGTGCTTCAACGTTTTACCTAAAATGTTGCAATTGACAACAGTCTTTTTTTAGGATTGAGCACGTCAGTTAATGTCCAGTGCCTCGAGTTGTATCAGGTCAGCTAAGTCCTACATCTTCGATATAAGTGTGCCCACCCTTTAAGCACCAACGTAAAGCTGAACGCTTTCCTCTGAATGTTTGTCCATCTCTCGCACACTAATTATTGTCTGCCTTTTTACCGGTATCACACATAAAGAAGAGTAGTTTTGTCGCTCGTCTGTTCAGTCTATATATCTCCGCAGTCCAAAGATCACATTATCAGCTTTAAGCAGACGATCACTCTTTGTCCGCACTCCTCGCTTATCACCATGCTGCTAAAGATCATTCGTGCTGAGGCACTGGCTTCTGCTGACCTAAATAACAAGAGCGATCCATTTGTCCGTGTCTTTTATGATGGAAAGGAAGTGGCGGCCTCACATCGAGTCAAACGGTCGCTCAACCCGCGCTGGGATTTTCATGTGACTATCACGCTTATTCATGCTGGACCCTTGGACGTAGAGTTGGAGGTATTAGACAAAGATGAGTTGTCTCAAAACGATTTGCTCGGTGCATTGCGTGTTCCATTTCCGGAATGGCGTCAACTTGTGGATGAGTATCAGAAGCGCAAGCAGAAGTCGGGAATATCCATAGCGCGACATCAAGGCTCCAAGTACATGGATACGCATCAGCCATATACGTCCAATGCGGCAGAAATAAATGAACGAGGTGACTACTCACGGCGCCATAGGGCAGACAGTGATTTTCAGCGACGGTCAAGGTCATTGAACTCGAGTGAAAGCTATCTTCAAGGAGAAACAAAAAGCCGCGCTTCTGTGACGTCCGGAGTTCTTACGACTGGGGCCCTGGATGTTGCCATGGATATCAAACCTGTATTTATATGGTGCAGACTGGTCAAGGGTTCGACAGCGCAAGGACGTATTCTGTGCAGTGTGCAGTACGAGGAAAATGATCTTAAATATCTTATTAATCACCCGTACGGCACCAGTATTCAAGAGGTTTTTCTACCACAAAACCCACGATTCGAACAGGCCTATTGCCATTTACCCAGAAGCTGGCATCCAGATGTAGCGGTTAGGCAAGATGAACTCACAGCAATGCATGCGGGAACACCGAAAGATTGCTTGTTTCCGTGGCACGAGAAGCTTTTGCACATGGTCGAAGAAGTGACAGTGACCTTTCATGTTAACGAGTCAAATCAAGGCGTACTGGCGACGTTAGTGCTGACAAATTATCGTATTTGGTTCGTACCATATCGACGTGTGCGAGGTTTGCTTCATGAAGATGTACATACGTTACCAGTGAGCAAGATTTTGAAAGCAACGATTCAGCAGCAGAAGCGCAGTAACAACAATGTCATCACCGTGCTCATCTTGGATAATATGGATGCTGGACACTACCACGTGACGCTCTCACCGATCTCGCGGCTTAGAGATTCGGTGCGCGATTTTTCACGTGAAGCTGAACTAAAGCGCGTCAAGACGCTGCACAACATTGTTCGGGAGATTGACTGGCTGCGTATTGAAAATAGCTTTTGCTCGCCAACAGATCGAAATCACACAGTAGCTTCTGCAGATGAGATGCAGCTAGAGGACGATTTGCTTCACTACACGCCTAAGCACAGCAATTCTTCTATGCCGCCACCCATGGCACGCGCATTAACGCAAAGTTACAGTAAATATCAGAAGCACACGTTTACAAAGGAAAACAGTAGAAGTTTGACGCTTGATGGCAGTGGTGAATTTTTGGAGTCTTTTAAGTTCAAACACCAACGAAGTATGCCGCCAACCCAAGCTTTACTTCTTCAAACCGCGTCGATGAGAAAACCTCCGCAACAATTTCACCTCGCAGCGAGGCGGCGAATTCAATACGACCCAGATGCTGAATATACTAGACAAGGAGCAATGAAGCATCCTCGCTGGCGCAAATGCGAACTTAATGAGCAGTACCAGCTATGTCCAACATACCCGTCATTTCTCTTAGTACCCGAATGCTTGGATGATAACACTATAAAAGCAGCTGCAAGTTTTCGCAGCAAATGTCGTTTGCCGGTGCTAACATGGATCCACCCGCGAACTGGAGCCCCACTTTGCCGAAGCAGCCAACCGAATACGGGCGTTTTGCGCAGCACAAGTCCGGAAGATAAGAAACTGATCTGGGCCATTCGAGATGCAGCGATTCCTGCAGATCACGCCGCAAAGTCTATACGAACACTGCCGAAAAAGAACAGTGTTGTGCATATTGTTGACGCCCGACCAGAAATTAATGCCAAAAGCAATGCTCTTGCTGGTAAAGGTCACGAATCTGTGAAGCAGTACGATCGCGATGGAGTTTCGACGGCTGCAATCACATTTATGGGAATCGATAATATTCATGTTGTGCGAAATTCACTTAATGGTCTAGCGCAAGCGCTGTACGAAGTGGAGGACTCTAACTTTTTTGGTGCTGTGCAAAAGAGTCGCTGGCTGGAGCACATCTGCAGCATCTTACAAGGGGCAAGTGAGGTGGCCACGCACCTTGAACGTGGCGATGCTGTTTTGGTGCACTGCAGTGACGGGTGGGATCGAACTGCTCAGCTTTCGGCTCTTGCTCAGATAATGCTTGATCCGTATTATCGTACTTTAGAAGGCTTCGCTATGCTGATAGAAAAGGATTGGTGTTCATTTGGCCATAACTTCCAAAAAAGGTGCTCCCACCCAACATCCGACCAAACGTCGCCGATCTTTTTACAATTTATTGATGCTGTGTATCAGCTTACTCTCCAGTTTCCGACTCATTTCCAATTTAATGAGCTATTGCTGTCATCCGTTGCTGAAGCGGTCTACTCATCGTGGTATGGCACTTTTCAAAAGAATTCTGAAAATGAAAGGCGGCTCTTTTTATCAACGGTCGCAAGCGTTAGCGTGTGGGATGTTATACGAGCCACAACCGATCAGTATTTGAATCCTCTATTTGCTGGAGGAGAGGTGCACGCATCTGGTGGATCAATTATCGAGGTAATATTACCGGTGTGTCGAGTGCGCGTGATGCAGCTATGGGTTAGCCAATATCAGAAGGCCATCGGACATATGCGGCTACAGCAGCGAGAGTTTGAAATGCTGCAGCTTATTCGGCAGCAAGAGGCTGATCTTTCACGACTACATGCTGCCTTAAGTAATGATCAACACCTTGAGCTGCGTGCTAGTCAACTGCGGAGTGATATTGCAAAGCTGTCACGCAGCATGAACTTAAAATATCCCGAACAGCTCACTACACCGTTTAAAAAACCTGAGAGAAGGAGGCTTGTGTCAAGCTCCGGTGGGGAATCTCTACAAATTATGGGGAAATCTTCCGCATCACTGGATCTTCACGACCTAGAGAGTATTGTAGCTCTAGGCACGGCAGGTGCGGCTGCAAAAGCATCGGCAGAATCACCTTCTCCTCCTCGTGAGCATTTGACTCTAGCGCAAATACTTCAACGTGCAAACTTTGACGCTGGAATGAATTCGGCATCCCTCGGACCAGGCGGAGTATCTCCTCAACCTCACAATTTGCCAAATCCTCGTCGACGCAAGTCGCTCACGAGCCGATCACGAAGCAACAGTCTCAAAAATACTTTAATCAATGTGATGGCACAGATGAAAGGGGGTTTACATGACAAAGACCTTGACGAGTCAGAGGATGTTGGGTCTACCACGCTTCCAAATCCTGTGCGTGTGAGTGAAGGTCGGCGAAAAGCGCGGTTAAATTCGCCAACCCGCCGAGACGAATTGAAACGAGATTTACGTCACCTCGAGTCTCAACTCTCAATGCTTAATCATCAAGTAGCAATAAAGGAAGACGTAGCAAAGCAAATCTTGCGAAGATTTCGCTGTTACAATTACAACCTTCCAGAGACAGCGCTACGCAACGAAAATGACACACTTTCTCCAAGCAGCTGTAAAAAGGTTCGGTTGGGATTATCAAACGGGCACAAATCATTTTCATCCCCTAAACCTTTGTCGTCACCATCATCTTCTTCGTCACCTGGCTCAGGGACTGCGTCAGGTTCGGCTCAAGTATGTGGTGAGCATGGCGACTCAAATTCAATGAATGGAGATCCTCGCAATTTTACACCAGGTAGCTCGCCGCTTTTAGGAACAGACAAAGTCATTTCCGGAGGAAACTATTTAAACTCACAGCCTGTTTGGGAGCGCGACGAAGATGCTCCATGTTGCAAGCGCTGCAAAAAACGATTCAAGACCCTGTTGCGCAATCGCCACCACTGTCGCTGCTGTGGTTACGTTTTCTGTGGTCGCTGCACGAGTCACCGCATGAGTCTTCCAGATTTTGGCTATTACGATGTCGTACGCGTGTGCAAGATTTGTTATAATTCCGGCGAAGATGGGTGAAGCATGCGAAACGGAGCATGCGTTGTAAATATGTAAATAATATCTTCTGGTTAGAAAACTTAATTTCAAACAATCATAAATTTCAATAGATGCTTAACTTGACAGTATGATTGTATGAGTCGTAGTTAAGCGTGTCAAAGGTGGCTGCCACTTCGTCAGATAGTCTTAAAGGTCTGATGCTCAGAGGTGAGATAGGGCCTGGCTCGGTGCACCACATCTTAGGGCATCAGCTTTGCATTTATTTTATTTGACACATGCGACTACGATACTAGATTTCATTTATAAATGATGTCTTCTTTAATTTTCTGATGAATAAAATCGTCTCGGAAACAACTTTTTTTGTCGTTTAGCGAGTAAGCATTTTACCACTACACTCATTTAAAAAAAATTGCGCTTCAATCCTCGCCGCCAAGCAATGCATCAACCTTTTTAACGGTCGCATGATGAAGTGAAAACATTATCTGACAAATTGGTCGTTGCGGCTTCAACTTGTGAGATAAACATGCTGCCAAAGTCAGCAGCACGCGATGATTTGGCTCAATTTTTGTGCATTTGTCAGCAATTCAAGTCGAGCGATCACACATCAAAGTTGACTAACATTTTCTTATCTTTTTCATCCTAAGATTGCCACTTATCGTGGAAGATGATCCACTACAAGGTATTGCATGGCATAACGGAGCAGAATCCCTAGGTCGAGCTGTAATCTTTTCTTGTGAGTACTGCGCGTAAAATGCACGTCGAGCACCATTCGATTCATTGCTTGAGGAGCTATGCCAAACATTTGATAAGAAAAAAATCACATCCCCTGCCTTAACAATCACTGGTTCACTCGCGTGACATTCAAGAGTTTCAACATTCTCGTTCATTCGCTCGCCCAAAGCATTAAGTGATACAAATTGTAGCGCACCATTCGCTTCCGTCACGTCATCCAAAGCACACCACGCCGAAATGTAAGGAGAAATATCTTTGCGATGCACGCACATGGCGAGCTGCTCATCATCGTCTCGATGCCATCGAAACTCAACGTGGCTTCTCGGAGGCTTTACTACAAAGTGCTCGTTAAAAAAGAACATGGCTGACTCGGGCTCATCTTTTTCAAAAGTCGTTGCTAGCATCTGCCCAGCCACTGTAGGCAGCTTTTCAAATAGCAGTGAGGCAAAAGTCTTAAGCTCAGCATCATTGCTATTTAACTGATCCGCGCGAGCTCGTAAGTAACAGTCAAGTTCGATTCGCGACGGGTCTAAGTCATGCATCTGATACGTGGTAAAATTGGCTGTATCTAAGTAGAATAAAAGCGTTCACTTTACGCACAGGGTAGTTTGACATCACGTCCAAGACGCAGCCCTTTGCGGTGATGGACTCGTCGGATTCTCGAGCATAGAGCACACTGCAATCTGACTGTAGTACGCGAAGTTCTGACGGGGATAAGAAATTGGGAATACACGCCCAACCGTGAACAGCAAAGTCGTTGTATTGGCAAGAAGTGCTAGTAGATGGTGGAGAAGGAGGCAAACGTCGAGAGCACTCTGTGCTCATACGCGTCAATTGTCGCAATTGAATTTTGTTGTAAAAAATACGTATGATACGGCAAAAAAAAAAAAAAATCTTAAGACATGTGCATACTATATGCGCGGCATGTGATCATTCGAAGGTTTTTTTACCTCTTCAAAATGAACCTTAAAGCTTAAAGGTGTGTTTTCTTAATCAAACCTTTTGATACCATATTCACTTTGCGCTTAAGAAATAGCTGGTCCATCGGAAATGCAAACGACAATAAGACAAATTTCTAGAGAAACAAGCTTCATTACACTGATTAAGCGGCAAATTGCCTAGCTGCTACCTAATGATCTAGCAAAAAACGAAAATAAACGGAGTCTATACAAGTTCCAAGTATAGGATGGGCAAGTGCATTGTCCCAAATAGTAGTCAGAACACCCAAAATTCCGTCGCGATACTGCATGGCCAAGTTGGAGGTTGCGGGCTCGAGTCTCCCCGCAACAAAAAGGGTCTGGTGATGCATAAAATGGTCTTAGGAATTAGGTTCGTCTTCTACTAAAATAGCCTGGAATCTGGTTGCGTGCGGAAAATCTTTCGGGTAGAATTTGTGACGGGGTTACACGTACCCTGGTAACAGGGGGGGGTGTCACATGAGATTGGCATGGTGTGACTGCACCCAAATACTAATACGGTGTAGCCAGTAGTTATGCATGTATTTAGATTGTACTATATATATTTGGGAAATCTTCACATGCGGCTTTGCCGCAGATAAAACAAATATATACAGTTTACATTTTAAACAGAAGAGTTTATTTGCCTTGTTGAGGTTCTAACTACTCTTGGTGGTAGCTGATTGCGATCCGCTACACTCGTACTTGTTCTTGTGAAGGACGTAAGGTCCGTGACCTAAATTAAGCTTCCTCAAAGCGCAAAGCTACGGCAGCCCCGCTGCAGAAATCGTTACAAAACATTTGCTAGGGAACGGCGATATTCAAGATTTCTAATGGTAAGGGCAACTTAACACTAAGGGAAGCCCTTGGAGGTGATGGTAGTTTTCGGTGACGTATGACGCACGGAAAGCTAACCTAAGAAGTCTTTCAAATGAAAAGGCTGAGCAAATAGTGATGTAGATCGAATCCGCCCGTGGCCCCAAGCGGGCGGATTAATAAACAGGGTTCGACGAACTTGTACAGCAAGAGGTAACACCAAATATAACCAAAACCAGATGTTCCCTAAACAATGAAGTCCAAAAGGACTAAATTCGAATAGAAAAACGGCCAGAACCAAAAAGGTTTATCCCTTTTAGAAAAACAAAGCGATATACTCTTGTTTTCCATTTTTCCTTTCGGTATGAAACTACCCAATTCTCGACACGTGGAAAATGGGCATGGGAAACTTTGAGTGTGACCACAGCACTGCAGCCAGTGTTAACGCCAAATTTGTCGTCACACAGTAGAAAGCCGTTAATGATTCTTGCCTAGGGACACAGTGGCAGCGCTTCAGAAAGGCGGAGGCTTGCCAACAGGTCTTGCATACTGCGTCGTTTAAGTCCTGAATGGCTGAGAAATTTAATAGAAGATCTTGATAGTAGTGCTCAATGTGGAGCACTACGACGGCCTCGACTCGAGCTTGAACGTCCATAACATTGGCTTGAAAGTCATGAAAGCGGATATCATTCCAATGTTGCCATAGACAGCCGAATATCACTGCTTACTTTGTGAAAACACACGAAGCGGGTATAGCCATAGCGGGCCTTGGTCGCCCGTTCAGGCTTCAGCTTAGAGATAAGACTGAATCCCATTCAAGTGCACCAAAAAAAGGCTTGAAAGTCGGTAATCCAGTCTGCCCAGGCTTGCATGGCAACGTCACAGTACGTTAAAAGACAAGAGGCCTTTTCCAGGGCCTCGCAATCATAGTGGCACATCGACTGAGTACCGGGTAGGTTTTGGAGCCGATTATGATGTAGCCTTTATAGCAGATTGTAATAGACTGGCAGAACGTGTCTGCCCATTTTTAGATCTCTAACCCACATTGACTGAGGGGGACTGCTTAAAACCGCCTAACCGGGAAAGGGGCAACGCTGGCAACGGGAACTCAGCGGGGTATTGAGCAAATGCGAGCCACGCTAAGTTCCGATACTGTATAAACATCAAAAATCCAGGCGCGACTGGCAGCGTTATAGCGCGAAGCTTGGTAAGTCCAATCTGGCAAGGAATCCAATGAACTAAGAATATTT